ACAAAATGCTGCTAATCACTTCAGTCGATTCGAACACTTGAAGACAGCACAGATTCAGCCGACCAGCAAGGTTGCTACAAAACATATTTTCCATTTGATATATGATGCCTGCAGCCTCATCCCAAGGCAGAGATGAAACAGCTACAGAAAATGAGCTTATGTGGTACTTTTTAAGGGACTATAAATAACATCAGATAGTGTTATCTTTGTAAAACATACTGGGATGAATTTATCAAAACTGGAGGTGACAAAATCTGGAGCAGTTATGCATGGCAACCAATCTTAACTGAACAAACTGGAGATGCTGATTGGTTGGCATGCACAGCTGCTCCAGATTTTGCCTGCTCCAGTTTTGATAAATTCCCCTCACTATATATATTTTTTTATGATTCATCAAAATACTGTTATTAAACCCTTGCATGCTTTTGCACATATCTACTGCTAGCGAGCAGTAGATATATGCAAAACGATTTTAAAAAAAAAACTTTTTAAAAGGGTTAATACTTACCTGTGTCTTCGCCGCGCACTCCGGTCTGAACATCTGAAAATTTCTCGGGCAGCCGCAAAGAATCTTGGGGCGGGCGCATGCGCAGTTCAGATGTTCGGCCAGGAGACACACAAGGTAAGTCTATGGAGCAGCGTGCACCCGCACAGACTCCGTGGGACATGAGAGAAGAGAAGGACAGAGGAGTCAGCGCTGAGACCCGCACCAGCGCTGGAGAGAAGGCTGAAAAGGACAGTAAAGAAGATGATGATTGGATTAAGAGACATCATTTAAGGAAAAGTCCTTACAATAGCATTGTAAGGGGGGGGACTTTTGACTTTAATGTCACTTTAAAGAGGAACTTTACCCACCAGTATAATTTCTCCCCAAAACAGTTACTTTCAAGGCATGCCAATTGTCAAGGATGTCAGTGTGCTTATTTCCGTTCTTAACCAAACGTTCAAACCATCAAATGGCTGACCTCATAGTTGATCACATGTGCAGCACCATGGCAACTACAGCCCAAATAAAGGCTAAGATGGCACCTTCCTTGGCTGTAAAGGATAGGAGATTGTAGTTCCACTTTAAAAATTAATGATTAAAACAAAAAAACTGATGCAGATTCCAGTAGTGCAGACAATATCACCTTCCTCAGAGCGAAAAATTATACATGGATTTTACATATATTTTTAAGAATTTCTAAAACAGGGTTTAAAGCTGTTCGGAGTTCTCAACTGGTTTTGTGGTCTTCTTAATGAAAAATATGGATCTATAAGCACATACATGCATAATTAACATCATATAGAAAATCCAGAACATTGCATCATATAGGTGTGCAAACACCCATCTCCAAATATAACACCTTTACTGTATACAGAAAGTACCCCTTACAAAAGCAGTACTAAGCTTCTGGAATCAGTTTCCTAAAACACCATCGATTATGTCATCTCTCTGTGAGCACTCCTAGGTGTCCTGGACCAGGGGAAAAATCCACTAGGAAGACACCCCAGACACGTCTGAGAATGTATTGTTTAATAATTGTGTATGCACCTTGCAGATGCCATTTGAGATATTTATTAAAGCGGACCTTTACACTCAAAAATGAAATTCTACCAATACATCCCTCTATGTATGATGATTAATAATAACATAGACATGTCAAGAGTAAAATGCTGTGATTTTGAAATACTTACACTTGCAGAGCATTCACTTCCTGCTTTGAAAGGGCAAAATGATTTCACTTTGCCAAAGCAATGCCCACTGGGATTGCATTATAATCAGCAGAGCATTGCTGGGAAATCTCATCTGTAATCTCATGAGATCTCGGGGAAAGGCATTTTTGTCCCCTGAGATGATGTGCATGGTCACATGTCCTAGTCGCATGTGCCAGAAATCCAGGAAGTAAAGAGAGAGCTAGTAATCTGCCCTTAGTAAACATGGCCACTGCCAGAAGACTGGGGAAGAAAAGAGGAATAAGGTCTGCAAAGAATACAAGGCCTGCAATTATCTAGACGTATGTGTTTGTAGATTGTCATTACTAAACATTTCTAAAGTTGTGTTTGTTGTTATTTTAAAGATATGGGTAAAGGTCTGCTTTAAAGGGTTAATAAAACACGGGCCCTTACAATATGTATGTAGCTGTGCCATCCACAATGATTTACATAGAAAACACAGAGAGGCAGATTTATCAAAACTGGAGCAGAGAAAAATTGGAGCAGCTGTACATGACAACCAATCAGCTCCTATCTTTCATTTACAAATCTCAGCTGGACAAACTGAAGAGATAAGCTGATTGGTTGCCATGGGCATGCCAACCAGAGAGTCTAGAGGACACATCACAGTATAACCTTATCATGAAACTGAATGAAAAAAATCCATCCAAAAAATGGTATGGAAAAATCTTAAGGGGCTGTTACAATGAACCATTGTGGATATCCTCCTATGCCTTCTGTGCTCATGGTGCGTGTAGTAGTATAGGTGGGCTGCCAATTCAATCACAAACCACAAGATTCACTGTACTGTACTTCCTATATGTGGAAATGAGCAAAGTAACTAACTGGCATATTAAAGAACAGCCTCATCTTTCAGAGAGTGTCATTGAAATATATTCTACCCAAATGGTAACATCCCTGATGTCCTTATCCTTTGAGATTGATGTAAACAAACAGTCTGCATACTATCATTGTAGTTTCTTTACATCACAGGATATGTTGAAGTGGCTGGTCAGAGAGGGATTATTTTGACGCAGTTACATACTGTAGTTATGTAGTTAGGTTGAGAAAAAAGAAAGAATAGAAAAACCTTCACAAACAGAACTCACAGTTGATCCAGAGGAAGGCAAAACACCCCTATAAAGCATGGTTCAATTTGATGCAACAGGGGAAAAAATCCTTCCTTTTTTAATCTTAAACATGTATTGCAATATACAGTATGTTAACCCTGAATTCCCTGTATGCAGAAGTTTACTAGAGATACAGTACGTGAAGGTTAGCAGTGTGCAGAGGGTTATTCCAGAATTTTCAGTGTTAAAGCAGCTGATTCCAATAGTACTGCTTTTGTAAGTTGAACGCTCTGTATACAAAATACAACTTCTGTATACAGTAAAGGTATATTTTATGATGGTCGTTTATACACCTATATAATGCAGTATTAAGGATTTTTCATATATATGATATTGTATATGCATTTTACGTGTTATGTACATCAGTTTAAGGATACACGTAAATATTGGCCCTGGAATTATTCCTCTCACTCTGGCGTGCATGGCAATACCCAACATGTGTAGCGCTATCGCCGTTTTTGTACGTAGACGCACCCAACACGTGTTTATCTTGGGTGCGCAGGGGACTCTAAACTTTTTTTACAATTACTTTATAAAACTGCTTTTGTTTGTTTTTACTTTAATTGCTAACACCTAGGGGGGCTTGCAAGCCCCCTATGCAATAGCATATTAGCAGTGACAGGTCCTTTTTAAGGTGACACTAGGGGTTCAAAAAACCCATAGTGTCACCTTTTTACTCTAATAAGCTGTTGGAGGCTCTGTAGTTCAGAAGGATAGAATAAAGGCAGAAATTACAACACTGCTTGGTATCCCTGTCCAGGGGAGGCAGCGTTGTCAACCAACAACAAGAATTTTGTTGTGTCCTGTACCTCAAGTGGTGATACCAACATCACAGCTGTTGCTGCAGCCATGATCTTTGTATTATTTTAAACAGCCAGCAACTGGATATCATGTACACGTGATCCAGGCGACTGTAGAGCTGCCTGATTACTTGTATGGGCCTGGGAAGGTTCCAACACCCCACCACCCCTCCAGGGAGCTCAGGACCACACCAGATGACAACAGGATGGTGAGTGGGAACTTAAGTTACCCAATCTGCTCTGCAATCAGTGAACCCTTAAGCGCTGTGCTATAAGCATTTCCAGGTTCACAGCTGTCACATTCTGGTCAATTTGGCCAGGTATCAAGCATGATCTGGGTCTACTGAAACACCTGATGTCTACATAAAGATAAAGAGCACCTCATAGAGGATATATTGTCCGCACACCATTCAGCTTCAGAATATCATTTTTACTGGTATCATCTTTATAGGAATGCCTTAAAGATGATATTCTGAAACTGAATGGTGTGCGGACAACATAACGTCTATGCTGTATACTGCTCCAGTCCCTGTTGAAGTCTGGGATATATTGGTACAGAATGCAAAGCAGATATCATTTAACATAAAGTGTACCTGCCACATGCCAATGCTTTCACAATGGGACTTTGTTAGCCCCCATGTAATAGCAATAAAGTTAAATGAAAAAAATAAAAGGGGGGGGGGCACCATAGTTTTATGCCATTTCTCAGGCATGTGCAATTTTAAGGCTTGACAATGTCATCTTTTCTATTTTACCAAAATTGGGTATTTGTGTGCGCTAAAATTCATTTTAGTTTCTTTTTTCCTTAAAAGATAAATTTGATTAACAAAAATTGCAACTACTGCTTTTTATTCTACAGGGCCTCTGCTTTCAGAATATATATAAGTGATTAGGGGTTATAACTCATTTTCTAGCCAAAAATTCACGTGAAAAATTGTTCTGGTCCTTGAGTGAATAAAGCAATAAAATTGGTGAAATGTGCATGTCTTGCAGAGACGTTTATTTTTATTTTGCCCAGACATGCACTTAAAGCCATGGCTGGCAAACTACTATGACTGAAAGCAAAATTGTTAGCTTAACAATAGCTCCATGCTTCTCTAATGGGCCCCCTGAAAATCCCACTTTGTGAAAGTGCTCAGCTATGTCAGCTTTGATGGGTTGTACCTAAATATTGCATTGTAGGATGGGAGACAGAGCACGCCCTGCAATACCCAGAAGATCACATTTTCTATTATGCTCCTAAGGGAACATCAGGTCAATGCGGCAACGCTGCAAAGGTATGGTACCATTAGGAAGGATGTCTGCTATACAGAACATGTGTTAAATACCGCTTTGACTGGTTGAAAGGTTTATGATAAACTTACTTTTGGTTTACCTGCATTTTGAAGAAAGGCTTCGCAATTGAAAAATGCATTTGGCATTGTCATTATTCCTGTAAAGAAGAAAAAAAAAACAGATCTAAAATTGACAATTAATATGAACATTTACACTTTAAAAAAATGGTAAAACCCCTACAAATTACAGTACACCCCCTTACAGACATCTTCTTTCAGAGGTTTTTACATTCCTTTTTAATCCTTTCTGATCAGTCATATTTAGTAGCAATGCAGATAGAAGGTTGGAGGTACATTATGAATACCTCTAACTAGCAAATGTAAATGAAAGTATCAAAATGTTCTAAAACAAATTGTATTTCCAAGCCTAGTAAAACATGCACATCTCTTCATTATGTAGGCACTGTCACATTTAATAACAATGGAAATTCTTACCTTGAGGTTGGATGTGTATTTTATAGAGTGCTCGTGGCTATGAAATAATGACAAAAAAGAAAGAAGCCTTTTTATTACCAAATAAAAACAACATCATTCATATATTGGAGAGCTTACTCTCCCACTAGCTCTGCAGTGAAAGCAAGTCAGGCAGGACGTTTCGGAGTCTTGCAACAATAAACGTGATGGTGACAGGTTTTTTTGTTTTCAATTTTCATAAAATCTTCAAGTTTTTTTACTTGATTAAAAATACACTTTCTTTTAATGAAAAGAATTTCAGCTGCCTGGAAAAAAAGACTTGTGCTAAGAAAGTGTTTAAAGAACTCCAAGAAATTGTAGTATTACCCCTTGCAGTGGGGCTACCTGTTTGTTTGTATGCAGACAACTCTCCACTCCTCTTTTTGTGTCTAGGTTAAAAAACAAAGTTAGACTCACCTGAAGCTCCAAGTCGGCTTGCTCCTAAACCAGTCCTTCCAACGTCTCTCTCCCCCTCCTTTGCAGCGGCCTAAGGTCCAAAGCGTATAGATGTGAAAAAGATTCCAATGCTGCAGTGGAGTAGACAGGCTGAAGGGAGCACTGAGAAAGCTGGCTGGAAAGTTTAGGGTGAGTATAATTTTGTTACCTTAGCACCTGGACACAAATGAGCACCTAACCCTTGAAGTGCGGGGGTAGCCCCACTGCAATGGTTAATAAAAATACAAAATCCTGGAGTTCTTTAAAGTGACTCTTCCTAATCCCCACACTAGATACAGTGGCTACCTGAGATGTAGCTTTTACAGCATCCTGAGAAGCCTAAATCCTGGGATCCTTATGGATTAAAAGCCACGGACTGAGACTTCACCTTCTACCTATACGGTAGTTGTTTCGGATTACAGTTAACCTTAAAGTCAAATTCAAATAAGAAGGATAACAGTCCTGGACTCTTCTTTCTTCAATCCCTATTGGCTGTTCAGCATGATGGGAGGCCTCATTGTTCAACAATAAGTTGCTGGATACAGAAATGGCTAGCCCAGCCCTTGACTTTATGTGTTACAGCCTGTGTCAATCTCTATTTGTGTTAGACCAGTTTTGCATTAGTTTATTGCAAAGTAAAATCCTCTATAAGTGGGTCTAAGGCAGGTCAGAAGGGAGGTGGACTGCAGGTAAAATGCACATGTGTCTAAAGCTGATGTCAAACTGATGCCATCAACACAAGCCCAAAGTCTGTCATCACATGCCCTTATAATGGCAATGGGAAAGAGGACAGCATTGGATGTACAGCAGATGGATCTTGGTAATCAAATCACCTAGATGAGTAGTAGGTCTATGTGTTTACTGTGACTGTAATACACCAATCTGAAGGGAACATCAAAATGAGGTGCTGTGTGGAGAATGAACGGATTAACATGCCTGCTTAGTTACCTATTGTAAATTGTTTAAAAAATGGGCAACCCATATTATTTATTAAGTCAAAAGAAGTCCCTCAAAATGTGCAACTAAAGGTCCTGCCTAAGAGCAACTAAAGATTGCAATCTTTATTAACCAGAAAATGACAAAGTAACCCTAAGGACAGATGTCAGATTGCTCATATACAGTGAAGCTGACAGTAGAAGGAATTTGTTAGTAGCTACGTTGCCAGTCGTCAAAGGGTTAGCTCTAGTGAAGTCCCACCTGTAAACATAAAGCTGAAGATTTAGGGCTTGTTCACACCATGTCCGGATCATGTCCAGACCAGAACAGTTTGGTCCCAGACCAAAAAAGTATCCCAATGTTTTCCGATGGTATTTCTGGGCTCTGTTCACACCAGCTCAGTTTATTCCGAACCAGACACACAAAATACTGTTTGTCTCATTTTCTCTGGTCTGGAATGCACTGGAATGCATGGAAACACATCAAATACACAGATGCATGCAAACGCACTAGACTGCATCTGTAAGCCCATTTTAAGCTAAAATAATAAATTAAAGCTGCAAAATTGTGGTAAAATCCCAGTAAAAACGCGGCAAAAATGCTACAAAACGCAATGCACCATGTTCCAGATCTGGTCCTGAAAATGGTGTGAACCTGGCCTTAACCCACAATCTTTACTGATTGTGGAGCCCGGGATCAGCGGAACAACGGCGGGGGGGGACGGGGGGGGGACCGATCGGCACCCCATACGCGCGATCGCTTGTATGGTAACAGGCATCGCTGCCTGTTTTTAAATACCGGCCATTTCCCGCTGTCTGAGCTGACGCCCGCTCAGATCTAGAGAGCTCCCGGCCAGCCGTTTTTTTTACTACGGCTGGCCTGGAGGCAGTTAAGCTAAAAAATAAATTAAAAAATTCCTATCGCGTTAAAAACGCAATGTACTATGTTCCAGATCTGGTCCGGAAAATGGTGTGAACCCAGCCTAAAACAAGGACTTCATTCTAAAGGTTTTAGCTCAGTATTACCTAAGCCATTAATTCAGCAATGAGCAATTTGTTCTTAAAACAGAGTAATAATGGTAGTGGGATAGAGGACAGCACTGGACATACAGCAGCAGGATTCTGTTTCCCAAATCACCTAATAAATAAATCTACAGGGTCTATTTATAAACATTTAATAGTTGCCTTGTCGCACTCCTAACCGGAGATCCACAATCGCAGGGGGGTGCTCGTAGTGAATGCGGAAGGCGCCACCAGACAATAACTGTAGATAGATGCCATCAGCACACCAGAATAATTTGAAATACAAAATGTTCATTTATTGAATCATCATGTCACCAGAACAAGCGCTTTTGGTGGCCTAACACGGGGTCGCCATTAGCAGGCTCAGCAACATTATTGCTAAACCTGATGAAGGGGACCCTGGTGGCCCTAAAAGCGCTTGTTCTGGTAACATGACGTTTCAAGAAATGAACACTTTGGATTTCAAATGATTCTGGTGTGCTGGTGACATCTATCTACAGTCATTTATAAACAGTTTCACATAAGATTCACATGACTTTCAACCAGGAAGTCACTCATTTTCTAGATGTGTGAATCCTGGTTGAATTTATTGTATTTTTGATTTATAAATAGACCCCTACCACTATGTGTTTGCTGATATAATGTGTTTTACCACGGCTCTATTGCTGGGCGCAGTTTTGATTTAAAGCCGGTCTTAGGCCAGGAGTGGTAAAAGGCTTTTCAGTCGTATCATTTAAAAAGAAATACTCCGGGCAGAATTATTCTTAACCCTTGTAAGGCTAGCCCCGCACTGCAAGGGTTAAGTGCTCGTTTTCCTCTGGTCCAGTGATGGAATGTCCCTCGGTGACCTCAAGTTCAATACAATGTATAGGACGTAATGACTCACAGAACCTTAGATCGCTGGAGCAGAGTGGAAGAGAGGCTGCAAGGACCGGACTAACAGCTAGCGCTTTGAGGTTCAGGTGAGTATAACTTTATTATACAAGCATTTAACCCTTGCAGTGCGAGGGCAGCCCCACCGCAAAAGGTTAAAAATAATTTTGTCCGGAGTTTCTCTCTAAGCTGGAATTATTTTTGTTGTTAATCACAGAAATCACCATGAGTAAACTCTTGCTCCTGTAGAACGTGAGCAGTTATGAGTGGAGAATATTGATGTCAGTAAAATGACATTGAAAGCAGTGCAGATGTTTGTATTAAAAGGGGTTGTCGTCCTTAATGTGATTCCTAGGCAGAGCTGCAACTCCCAAGAAACACTGCAGCAATTTTGTGTTATTTTCAGCTAGTTGCTCTGAAAGCCATCATAAATGGCTAAGTGGCATAGGTGACACTGTAGGAGGGGGAGGTATACACCTGATGTTCCAAACCTGTCCCCTTTAGCAGCCTACGACTACTCACAAAGAAAAGAAAGGGAACGATGCCATACCCAATGTTTTGCTGCAATTTCTTTAATCTCATGAGTAAACGCTACAGCAAATCTGGAGAGAAGAAAAAGCAAAAGCATTAAATGATACAGACAACTAAAGTCACTTTGTCAACCTGGGTTATTTTTTTAAACATTTCTTATAGATGAAAAATCAAAACTATAAAAGATTCCATGAACTTATCGTTCAAAAGGCATCTGGTTATTTTAAATAACATACTGCTACTGTTACCAAAAAGGCGAAAATGTGACTAAGCATACCTACGCAGAAGCGATCTGGCGACAGGTAAGTCACCAGGATCGCTTCTGTTGTAAAGCCGACAGTCGGCTCTACAAGTTTAAACAGACTCCCGGCGGCAAAAGTCGCCGGGAGTCTGTTTAAACAGCCCCGATGCTAGCGACGTACACTGTACGTCGTCAGTCACGAAGGGGTTAAAAGAGAAAAAATTACTTTTACTGGCTTTATTAAAATTCACAGATACCTTGACTACTTTGGCCACTCGGGCTCAAAAAACGTTAGTCATCACTGCACTGGGACATCTCTGCATCAGAATAGAAACATAGTACGTCTTTAGTTTTCTCATTATGACCAGCCATACACTAATACACTAACAGATTTCTTTTGTTCAACCTGCAGGCTGAAAAGAAATCTAACAGAAGGGCTCCTTACCCAGCCCCCCCACATTGTGTTCTGACAGATGGTGTCTGTCACTGTCAGAAAACACAAACAGTGACTGCGGCCAACCGGCTGCAATCTCTTTTCGGCTGACAATTTTAAGCCCGGCTACTTCAGTAATCGACTTTTGTTAAGCCAGCAAGGCCGCCCACTGTGAGGATTTTGGCTGATTCCTGTGACCTAGATGAAATGCTAATAGTGCCTGGTCAGCTTTAGCCTGAAAACAATGTATGCTACTCTGTCATCTCACAATCAGGGAGGGGTGTCCCCTTCAGAAATAAATCACTTTCAGTTCCTCATTCATGCCTGCCTTTTATATGACTAGCCCAAATCTTCCACTTCCACCTTACAGTTAGTTCCACAGCTAAGGTGTATATTCTGTATAGCAAACAAGTACTTTAGTTATACCGGGACCTGATAATTTGTTCTCTCATAGGTAGAAGTATCTCTATAGGGATTTTAGCTTTCAATAAACTACACCCTTTATATTTGCCTCTCTGCACAGCGTCATCAACATTGCTGGGGCAGCCAATCAAATCATAGGAAGGAGGAGTATTTAAGAAAAATTTAATTCAAAGATGGCAAATGCTGACCTCTATCAGTTTCCAATGACAAATGAGAAAAACTCTGAAACATCAGTAACATTGATTGAATCTATTAAGAAAATATTTGCTCTACGCAGTCCCTCCCCCTTCAACTACGCTCCCTGCCAGTGAAAGCAGAAGTATTCATATTCTTTTGAAATTACAAAAAGTAGAAAAAGGAGAAGCTATTGTATATACTGAAAGTTGAGAGGGAGTTCTTGATGTTCTCAGTCTTCAGAACAACTAGACATTTGAGATATGGTTAAAACATAGGGGAAAACTGTTGCTGCACACACATAGTGTAATAAAGCTAAACACAAGACAGATAATAATGATTGAATACAGATATTATTCATTACAATAATTCTATATATTCTAAAAGCACCTAGTACCTGTAAATATCGACACCTGACTTACTTCAGCCTCTTGTAACTAATCACCATTTCAATAGCAGTCTCTCAGAGGAAAAGGAAGTACTCCAATGTTGGTGTCAGAAGGGAAAAGCAGAAAGAAGACCTTATCAGTCTTTTGCTGCTCCTTCACTGTCCAATCACAGGGTAGGGGTGAGGAGGTTAGCTGTGTTGCTTAAAGGAGAACTATGGGGTAAGTGTTTTTCCCCATAGTTCTCCCAAGGGTCACGGGAGGACACAAACTAGCGTCCTCCCGTCACCCTAGGCTCAGTATACCGCGAGCTACAGCTCGCGGTATACTGAAAAAGCTGCAGCCGGGACGGATCCCGACATTACTGTTGAGATCCACCCAGCTGCGTGATTGACAGCTGGATCTGCCTATCTAGAGGCAGAGCCAGAAGTACCCGCCCGCTCCCCCGTCTGTTCCGCCAGTCAGCGCTGGAAGATCGGAGCGGGGAGTGGGGAAATCCCTGCCGGGAGCCGTGAGTGACAGTCACGGCTCTCTGCAGGGACATGATCAAGAAGTGAGCGAGCGACGGTATGTGTTCGCTCACTTCCCGATCTATTGAGCTGACGTGTGACAGTTTCATTGTCACACGTCGGCTCAAACTATGAGGTTGAGTGAAAATCACTCACATCATAGTTGTCCTTTAAGTATAGCAGAGAAAAGTCAGATGTCCATGTTGGCTGTGCTGTGTTGTAGAGCTGTGTGACCCGACTGCCAGAAATATTAGCAATATAATTCTTTAGCAGGTAAAACAATTCCCATATGTGTAATTCAAATGAATATTTAGCCATTTGCCTGGAGTTCAGCTTTAAAAATCAGCTTTTACTTTGATGATCTTTTATGTGTAATAAAATAAATATAAAAGTAAAATCAAAGCACTAACAAACCAGGATGGGAACAAATACAAGTGACTAAGGGAAGAATTTCGCAACTAGCAGTGATCCTGACATTTCACGCAGAACGGGAAATTCATCTGTCACAGCTTATTCTTAGTGTAAGGAAAGTCTGCATGGCATGTGCTGCTTGCTAATGCACAAGATACATAGCCATTAGGCTAGTCAACAATACAAAACACTTCAATTACCTGGCCTCTTCAAGTACAGCTCCCATAACTCTGCATTTCTCTTCATTTTTCACATCTTCATTGATGTCGGTCCCACCAAATACTGCCCCATAAGGGATTCTATTTCCTTTTAAAACAACAATAAAACATTTCTTTATTAGGTAATATGCACTGTGTGCTATATATACAGACACATATTAAATATAAATACACACACACATACACGCGCTGACCCCCTTCACTTTTTTCAATTGTGTTATATTGCAGCCTGATTTTACAGCTGTTTAAATTCTTTTTTTTTTTCTCCTAATGACAAAGTGAATTTTAGAAATGTCCGGGAATTTAATAAAAAAGAAAAAAACATGTACTTAAGTATTCAGACCCTTTACTCAGTACTTTGATGAAGCTGCTTTGGCAGCAATTACAGCTTCAGGCATTTTTGGGTATGACGCGACAAGCTGTGCACACCAGGATTGGGGGATTTTCTGTTATTTTTCTTTGCAAATCCTCTCAAGCTCAGTCAGGTTGGATGGGGACCGTCGTTGGACAGCCATTTTCAGATCTCTCCAGAGATCTTCAATAGGGTTCAAGTCAGGGCTCTGGCTAGGCCATTCACAGAGTTGTCCCTAAGCCACTCCTGTGTTGTGTGCTCAGGAGAGTTGTCATGTTGGAAGGTGAACCTTTGGTGAAGTCTGAGGTCCTGAGCGCTGTGGAACAGGTTTTCATAGAAGATATCTCTGTGCGTTGCTCCATTCGGCTTTCCCTCAACCCTGCCCAGTCTCCCAGTCCCCGCTGCTGTAACACCCCACAGCATGATGCTGCCACCACGAAGCTTCACTATTGGGATGGCATTGAGCAGGTGATGGGCGGTGCCTGGTTTCCCCCAGACATAACTTCAGAATTGAGGCCAAACAGTTCAATCTTGGTTTCATCAGACCAGAGAATCTTGTGCCTCACAGTCTGAGAGTCCTTTAGGTGCTTTTTTGCAAACTCCAAGCGGGCTCTCATGTGTTTTGCACTGAGGAGAGGCTTCCGTCTAGCCAAACTGCCATAGAGGCCAGATCACTTGAGGGCTGCAGTGATGGTTGTCCTTCTGGAACTTTGTCCCATCTCCACACAGGATCTCTGGAGCTCCATCAGAGTGAGCATCGGGTTCTTGGTCACCTCTCTTACTAAGGCCCTTCTCCCCTGATTGCTCAGTTTGGCCGGGCGACCAGCTCTTTGAAGAGTCCTGGTTGTGCCAAATTTCTTCCATTTGAGAATTATGGAGGCCACTGTGCTCTAGGGAAGCTTCAGTGCAGCAGAATTATTATTTTTGTAGCCTTCACCAGATCTATGCCTTGCAATAATCCTGTTTCTGAGCTCTGCAGTCAGTTCCTTTGACCACATGGCTTTTGCTCTGATACAGTATGCATTGTCAGCTGTAAAGGTGCCCATACACCTTACAATTATCTGCAGATTTTCTGTGGTCAGATGGAAAAAGTGCAACAGATTGGCCCAGGTGGAGATTCCTCCATCCACACAGTTAAGTGGAGATGGAGGAATCTGTTGCACCTTTTCCATCTGACCACAGAAAATCTGCAGATAATTGTAAGGTGTATGGCCAAGGCATTCTATAGAGAGATGTGTGCATTTACAAATCATGTCCAAGCCATGTAATTTACCACAGGTGGACTCCAATCAAGGCGTAGAAACATCTCAGCAATGATCAAGAGCAATGGGAGGCACCTGAGCTAAATTTCAAGTGTTGTTGCAAAGGGTCTGAATAGTTATGCCATTGTAATATTTCAGTTTTTCCTTTTTCATACAATTGCAGCCATCAGATCACCTTCTCATTTTATTTTTTTTTTATTTTGTCTCCAAGTATCTACAATACTGACAAATTAGGATAATGCTTGTATAACCCGGATAACTTCATCTTCCTCCTAGTCCATGCTGGCCAGTGGAAGTATTATTACGATGTCCACACTACACCCTATAGTGTATGGACGGTGACAAGAGTTCTGCCCTTCTATGCCAATGTTTCAAGCAGGTACAGTGGGTTCTTTAAAAGCTGGGTCTACTAGTTACACCCATACAGGACACAGTGGGTGTGATAAGGACAAGCAGTGGGGGGGGCCTATGGCAGTCTAGACATTAAAGTGACACTAAACTCAGGAGTTAAATCTTAAAAATGCATCTAAGTACCTAAGTACTATTAACAAAACGGTTTCTTTTTTGTGCTGTATATCCTCAAATCATCTCTGAATTCATGCTGACACTGTCCTTCCTTCTGGAGGGTGGTTGCTTTTATTCTCGATGGTCCCAGTGTGTGTGGCAAAGTAGCCACTGCTTCAAAATCGCTCCCGTGATGGACTACAATCTCACATTAAGTTTACTAATTTGTAATGAGATTTTAGTCCACCACAAGAGCGAGCTTGGAGTGGTGACTACTTTACAACACACACAGAGACCATGAGGACAGCCTCAGCTCTAATTCAGAGATGATTTGAGGATCTACAGCTGAGTGATACACAAATAAGATACATTATTATTATTAATAGTTAAGTTACTTGAATGTATTTTAAGATTTAACTCCTGAGTTTAGTATCACTTTATTGTCTAGGCCGCTATAGTGTCACTTTAAGGATGAAGTTGCATAATGAATGGCATCACACAACCTAGACATCCAGCAGCTGCTATTGTGATCCACAGGACTTCGGAGCCACATAGTGGGGAATGGGAGCAGAATTATAGTGCTGGATTTGTGGAGAGAGTTCAGTTTTAGGGCTTGTGCAACCGCGTCCATTCAGCCGTTGAACAGTTGTCTTCCATGTGCTCTGTACGTACCATTAATATGCAGTGATGTGCAGAAAAACGCAGCTCAACTGATATGGCGTGAACAAGACTTTAAAGTAATCCTAGCATGCAACAGAGGGCAGCAGTGGAGAAAAACAGAGACTGACCTGTGAGTCGCAAGGTCCACACCACACTAGAGAGCCGGTCACTGCAGACAACTCAACATAAACAAGATCACTAGCCTACTCCTGTGGTGTTACTCTATTGCAGACACACCAAAGAGGTGTCGCTCCATTGCTATTCCCTTGTGGGCAAGCAAGATTCTGCATTATTTCAGCCAGCAAGGGAGCGATGCAAGAAAAGCAGTTAGGTGGTTTAGAATAAGAACAAAAGAATGATTGTCTCTATAGTGAACACTCCCACATACAGCCAGTGAGCTCCCTAGCATTCTTTCTGACCCAGCCACAATGTTAGAAGCTTGTGACTTAGCAGCCTAGTCCTAAAAGCAAAAGTGTGAAAGGGAATCAAAATCAGGGTCAGGTGATCAGAAACAAAATTTGATCTATTGGATTCTGTGGGTAATAATATCTTTTTAGAGGCTCCAGAACAATGACAAAACATCAAAAGATGTCCCATGCTAAAAAAAATGGTAGAAAAGCTGCTACCAAGAAGAAGAACTCCAGTCAGAAATAAGTAATGGTCTTAAAGAAGAACTCTGGGCAGAAATATTCTTAATCCTTGCAATGGTGCACTGAAAGGGTTAATAGCTTGTTTTTCGTCAAAAAAAAATAAAAATACTTACCTGAACCTTGCAGAAGGCTGGCTGTTGGACTGGTGCCTGCAGACTACCCCCCTCCGTTCCAAAGGTCTAAGGTGCTATGAGTGATCGCGACCAATACACTGTAGCTGAGGAACATTTCATCGCTGGAGCGGAGGAGGAGGCCGGTCTAGCAGCCAGCCGGCTACAAGGTTCAGGTGAGTAAATCTTTTTGATTTTAATACAAGACAAAAGTGAGCACTTAACCCTTGCAGTGCAGTGGTGGCACCACTAGAAGGGTTAAGAATATTTCTGCCCAGAGTTCTTTAAGACCATCACCTATATAAACAGATATTGACAGTTAAGAAGATAAAGATGGCGATACATTAGTAGATTTTTTTTTTTTTTTGCCCAGCCTGAGTCACACGTACACATTCCTCAATCCATGCTAAACAGAGTTGGTGGATGAACCTCCTGCTGCAGCAATTGTATTCCACTGAATAACCAAACAGTGACTGCAACAGATAGGCGAGTCACTATTTGGCCAACAGTTTTCCACCCAGATTTTTTTATTGTTAGATGGCTGGGTGTGGACCGGGAGGCTGCAGACAGGGCCACCCTCTAAGTAAATGTTGGCCAGTTCAAGAACCAGACAAAATTCGCTCCGTGTATGCCCAGTTTATGAAAGAAAAGTGAAACATAAATATTAATATCGGGGAATGGACAAAGTGGCTGTTAGATTGATTAGTCCGCTCCAGCAGGACAAGATGGAGGCGCCTAACAGCCAAATAATTAGGTCTTAGGGGACAGGCGTTAGCAGAATTTTTCCACTTTTTGCATAGGTAAGTTATTTATGAGAAGAATTCTTCATAGTGGCAGCAAATTCTGTAAACATTGCCAAACACAAAAAAATTGATTTAAAGGAGAACTATGAGGTGAGTGATTTCCACTCATCATCATAGTAATAGCCGACCTGTGACAAAGAAGCTGCCAGAGGTCAGCTCTATCCATCGCGAAGTGAGCAGAAACATGAAGCCGATCCACTGACTTCCCAATCGTCTCCCTGCAGGGAGCGGTGACTGGCAGCCACGGCTCCCCACAGGGATTCCCCCCTCCCCTCTCCGATCCTCCAGCGCTGAGTGGAGGAACGAATGGGGTAGGGGGCAGACACAGCTGGCTCTGCTTCTAGATAGGCAGAGCCAGCTGTCACTCACGCAGCTGTGTGGATCTCAACAGCATTGTCGGGATATGTCCCAGCTGCGGCGCTCTCAGTATATCGTGGAAAATAGCCCACTATATACTGAGCTTTGGGTCACAGGAGGAGGTTAGTATATGTCCTTTCGTGACCCTAAAGAAAACTATGGGGAAAAATACTTACCCCATAGTTCTCTTTTAAATATTCATGCAGAAAACAGATTCAAAGCTATTAGTATTGCCAAGCACAGTAAAGAGAGACTATTTAGCAAATATGGAGATAAAAACAAGATTATTGTACATGGGAACAGGCTGCAAATCACAATTAAGAGAGCAGTAATGTCATTAATACATTTTTTTTGCGCTGGTTAGCTGTGTGTGCCCTCACTGCTTTGTACATTAAAGCACTTTAACCCATGCATATTTAACAAAATAATTAATGCTGCAGGCTTTCTTAACCGAACAGAAATTTGAATAATTCAAATTCAGGCCTTCGTAGGGTTTTTTTTTTCAATCCTTGCTTATTTAGGTTAATTTGTAATTGCAAAGGAAAATGTGCCTGTAGTCCTAAAACATTCCTAGAGGTATGACTGAAAGATACATTGTAGAGTTCAGCAGTCTGGGGAATATAATATACAGTATAGCACAGCTTAACATAGTACAGCAGATTGTGATGTGTTGATACAGCAGAGAATTGTGTTATTGAAATATCTGTGAGTGGAGCATTGTTGCATTAAATTTACGGCCAACGAAGAAGCGCGTGGTGCATAGTTACATTTGAGGTTGAATAAAGACACATGTCCATCAAGTTCAACCTATTGTCACTGACTGAACGGATGCGTAGCTTGGTCTAGCCGGAGGGTTGGGAGGCGGCAGAGCCCGTGGTGTTGTGCCCCCTGGGGGTGGCGTCCCAGGGGTGCTCAGAAAGTCACTTGGGTGTGGGACTCCACTTTGACTCACTGTGCACATGGACACACACCACATTGCATATTCTGCACAACGCCTCCGAGACAGGCCTTATGGCTAGTTTGGGGCAATATTTTTGCACTCCGGCCCCTAGGGCCTGTCAGCGTGGTTTATTTATTTATTGCACTACATGCACGATTGGAACTTTTTTGTTTTTAAATTTTGACCCACAGATGCAGCGGGTGCAGGTTCCTTCGGGGCCTTTTCCCGATGTGGGGAGGAGATTCTGTGCCCTAATATAGGGTTCTCTGTCTCCTCCCAACCAGGGGGTCTCTCTTCGGGAGAGCCCCCTACCTAGTACTGTGAGGGACCTGTTTCGGCAGGTCCCCAAAGGATCGGGGTCCACAGGCTTTCGCATTGGTGGACCAACAGTCTCAACCCCTGTCAGGAGCCTTGCGCCCCGGGGGGTCGGGAATCGCGGTCCCTTCTTTATTGAAGGACCAAGCACCCTTGTGCACGTTTTTGTGTGCTGTGATTTCACGGTTCACTTTTTTTGTTCACAGGGGATAGTTTTTCGATGCACGTTCCACGGGCTAGCTAGCAAAAAAATAAAATCAAGTGCAACCTATTGTGTATGTGTGTATGGGCCTACTGATGTGTGCGTACAGTATGTATAGGTCTCTGTTTGTTCTCATTCTTAAAAGTACTTGTACCCCCGTATATTACGGTCCCTGAGGAAATCGTCCAATCGCCTCTTGAATGATGCCACATTCTCGGCCGAAATCACAGCACAACATTGCAGTGTTCGGTGAAGAAGCAGTCAGTGGAGAAAAGCACGGGACCAGTGGTGATCAGTGGAGAAAAGCACGGGTCCAGTGATGGTCAGTGGAGAAAAGCATGGGTCTAGTGATGGTCTGTACAGAAAAGCACGGGACCAGTGGTGATCAGTGGAGAAAAGCACGGGTCCAGTGATGGTCAGTGGAGAAAAGCACAGGTCCAGTGGTGATAAGTGGAAAAAAGCACAGATGCAGTGGGGATCAGTGGAGAATAGCACAGATGCAGTGGGGATCAGTGGAGAATAGCACAGATGCAGTGGGGATCAGTGGAGAAAAGCCATCTTTTGGTGCCACCACTTACTGTCTAAATTGATGGATTAAGGATTTTAAAGCGGCTCCTATAGGTAGTTGTGGGTACTGTAGTTTTTTTGCCATTTCATAGGCTCACACAATTTTAAGATTTGACATGTTTGGTATCTATTAGAGGTGCACTGATACTGCTATCGGTGCTGATACTGGGCATTTTCAGACACTCATATTCGTGAAAATGACCCGATAATAAATGGCTATACCGGCACTTTCAATTTTTAAACTGAAGCGGCTGCCAAGATCCCATGTTTGCTTGGGATCTCTGCAGCTTTCCTGTGAACCATGTAGCGCCTATTTACAGCGATTGCCGCACATCATCTTCTTCCTGGGGAACCTCGCCACCCGCACAGCCCTGGGGAGACCCTGCACAGCCCCCTGAGACCATTTACAGCCCTCCTGAAATCCTCCACAGCCCACCTGAGATCCTCTGCTGGAGACGTCAGGCAGACACCCTGTAGCAGCAAACAGTATGTAGCTTCATATTATTCTGCATTGTTGTATACTGCATTGCTGGGATTTGTAGTCGCTCTACAGCTTGGAGTCAGTGACAGAGCTATGAGGTTCGCAGTTAGGACCAGGCCCTGGCACTTCACCATGGTCTTAAAATTATTAGTCTGTATTCAATCACACAAAGCAAATACACAGCTCACATCCACCTCCACAATCTGAGGATCTCATCTGCTTGTCGGGCACTAAATCCAAGTGAAAAAAAAGAAAGCCGCACTCCGGAAATAATGCTTCCATACACAGAGCTCAGTGATCAAGCCACAATGGTGGAACGCTTCAGTGCGTGAAGTTGTGTGACAGTGTACAGCTTATTTATGCTCATGGATTAAACAGCTTTATTTCAGGAGTGTGGCTTTCTTTTTTTTTTCATTAGTCTGCATTGTTTTAGAAAAACTGTCACTTGGCACTAAAGAAAAGGTAACGGTAATTGGTATCGGCAAGTACTTGAGAAAAAGTATTGGTACTCGTACTCAGTCTGGAAAAAATGGTATTGGGGCATCCTTGGCATCCATTTACCCTACACAACTCCATCTTTTTTATTTTACCAAAAAAATATATATATACTTTCTGATTGTGTGCACTCAAATTTATTTTAGTATATTCTTTCCTAAAATATAAATGTACAACATGAAAAATTCCAACTAGCTTATTTTTATTATAAAGGGCCTTGGCTTTCAGAAAACATATAACTGTTTGGGGGTTTTAAGCTGTTCTGTAGCCAAAAAAAAAATCAGATTTTAACATGTGTGTGCAAAAACTTAAAAAAAATTGCTCCACGGAGTGGTTAATACATGACCAGACTAAAGTATAGCCATGACTCTGCCTAGTCATTACAGGAAACAGCAGTGGTGCGTAGGTCAAGAGAAACCAGTAAGAGCTGCAGGGGACCCAGGGGATCAACACTCCCAAAGGTGTTGGTTTCCCAGCAGACATCGAGGAATGATTTCTCAGGATCGGGCAGCGTACAGGAGCTCAGACAGCAAGAAATGTAATTAGTATCTTCTCTTACAGGTATAGCTTGCTTGAATTACTTTTGTAAGGTCGCTTTAAAACTGTTACTGCTTGTTAAGAATGTGTAAATACTTTAATATCTGTAGTTTTGGCACAGGTTCACTTTAAAGCTGAATTCTTTTCTTCTATAGTATGTCTTAAGACAGAAAAAAAGTCTATACATTTACCCTTTATATGCATCCCCAATCCATCAAGCCTTAAGGTAGCATTAAACCCACCTTGTTTTATTTAAAAGTATTCACTTACATATGGAAAACCTACAGCAACCATAGTTTTTTTTTTTTTTAATACATCCCCATTCTCTTACTTTTATATAGCAGTCACACCTTATGGATGTTCACTCGTTCCTTCAACTTCTGGTCGAAGATGGGTAGCGCACACTGTAGTGGTCACATGACTACTCACATACACAGTGCTTTGTCCCTTATCCCACTGATGGCACTGCACATGCGCACTGCCTTCCCAGACCCGCCCATGTAAGCTTAACGCAGTCCCTCTTCGGTCTTTGATAAAACAGTGCATGCACGCCCTTACTGGGTTAAAGCAGACACACCTTAGTAGCATCACATGACCACCCTCACCCATAGCACCATAATAACAAGGCACATGTGTGCTCATCACCGGGTGAGGCGCTCATGTAAGGTTGGCTCCATCGGACCCTGCAAAGCAGTGAAGCCACCCTCAAGACGGTAATAGGGTGCAGAGTGACTTCAAATAAATATTGTAAAGAAATGACAGGCTGCACGCAGAAAGCAAAGAGCAAACATGGCAAGTCCTATAGTATGCTGCTATCACATTTTACATTGAGGCTTTAATATCACCTTAAGGTAGCTGAGAAATGATAGTGCCAGGCATGTAATGTAATATTTCTTTGCTTTACTTCTTTTACCTAACATGTGGCTGTGTTGTCTTCAATTGTAAATGCACAGCAAAATGTAAACCAATTCTTTCTTTGATTCTAGCAAGTAAATAGAACTGCAATACGTTACCCAGCAATAATTTTCCTGCTTTGTACAAATGGATGATCAGCCCAGCATCAAACTTTTTCTGGGAAATAAGTTTTGCCACTTCTAATGTGCTCTCCAAACCAGCGGCGTCTCGGAGCTCACACTCATGTCCTGCAGCTTCAAGATGACTCCTGAATGGAAAAGGGGAGAGATAATATCACAACTTAGACACAAATAAAGGCTTGTAAAGTTTTAAGAAAACCTGTCACCAGATCACCTTACTATAGGGGAAGTGCCTACTACACTAAGTTATGCTAGCTTTTAAAGGGTTAGTCCACCTAAGACTGATATTCAAGTTTTGAGTAGATGCCAAAGGTTTGAATCAAGCACTAGCACATTATATCTTTCATGTGCTCTGGTGACATATCAGCACCTTGATTTTCTTATCACTAATAATAAGTAGGTGTCTCATTCTCTTTATACTTTTTATTTGTTTTTGCCCCCTGTTCAAACTTGTAGCATGTGAACGCACATCGCTTTTTAAGGCGCATTTTGCAGCAAGTCAGCCCATTAATTTCAATGGGCTGCCCAACGCAAGGCAAAGAAGCAAATGTACCAATCTGACCTGTAAACTTCATGACTGCACATTTATCATGCGATAACATATGTGCATTTTTACTGCCGCGTTTGGGTTGCCAATGCGCACGTTCCCAAGCACAGCAAGTGTGAACAGGGCCTTAAACTATAGAGATTGCCGCAAGAGGACAAGGGCACCCACACCAGGAGTGACAGGTTGTATGCTTCAACTCCCACAGGACATACTGCAGCAAAAATTGGAGTCTTACTAGTCTAGGGCTTATACTGATGGGACCATGATTGGAGAATGTATCTTACAAGAGGGCAGCTGACAATTTTTAATGCTTGAAAATAATTTTGCCTTTTTTTTCTTTTAGGCAGGACTTGCCCTTCAATGAAAACAATACTGTTTCTAAGGTTACACTATCCCATGCAGCTTAGGGTTCGTTCACACCAGATGCAGTGCGTTTCCGGCCCGGTTCTGGCCACGATAGGAGTAGAACTTTTTACATGTACAAGACGAATACATTTTCATTAAATAAATTCTCACAAAATTCCATAACAATTAGGCCATTTACTATACTATGTTATAATTGTATTTGTTTTGTTCAATTTTGGTGTGTTATTTTAAACAAAAGTTTGGTTAATTTATTATAATGGCTTGGAGTTTTTCAGTTCAGGTTATTTTAAATCCACAAAACTAATTAAAATGTCTAATATAATACATACAATTAAAAAAAAACCCAGATTAATTGAAAAAATAAATTGGCCAACTAATTGATTATGAAAATAATCAATGAAAATAATCAATTAGTTGCAGCCCTACTCTTTAGTTTTTTTTTTTTATTCTTTACTTAACATTTTGAAATACAAGATAGAAAAACTACAAATACAGGGTAGAGAAGAGAAGTCTTAAGTTTGTTTAAGATAGTTTACGGATTATAAATGAGATACATTTCTGAATATATAGCGGTCTCAGGGCCCAGTCACACCATCAAGAGCGCATTCCAGTGCGTTCGCCCTCTGGTACGCACAGGAACGCAACCCGGCTGCCTTACTTTGTTTTGGGGCGGGAGCCCAGATAGCAAGGATAACTTGCCACAAACTTATGCCAGGGTTAAATTGTAATTCTTGTTAACTTGCTGCACACATTCCTGGCAAGTTGTAGACTTGCAGAGCACTTACAGCACAAGTTCTAGTTGACACTTTTTGAAGTAGTAATTTTGCTTGGCAAGTCTACAGTGAGGCCTGGTTCACACCTGGGCGTTTTAGGCCCCGTTCACATGTAGCGAATTATCGCGCGATTTCCGCCGCGATATCGCGCATTTTTGCCGCGCGATATCGCGAGAAGTCGCTGGCCAATGCTATTTAATGGAGCTGTCTTAACTCCATGTCGCGCGTCGCAAGTCGCTTCTACCGGACCCTTTTTTCGGCGGATTTTGCGCGATTTTGCCTTTTTTCTATGGAGCCCGACGGAGATGGTCGCGCTACCGTCGCTGGATCGTCGCTGGAACGGCCGCGCGGATCCGCTGCAAAAGGTATGTCGCTACGTGTGAATGGGGTCTTACAGCGCGTTCCTACGCTCTGTAAAACGCTCAACATGTGAAAACCAATGATTGCCTATGGGCATGGTTCCCACCTGGGCGTTGTACAGCGCATAGGAACGCGCTGCAAAGCGCCCTACGCCCAAAGAAGTACAGGAGCATCTTTGGGCGTATTTGCGTATCCACTGGGAACACCCTCGCGTTTTATTTTACCGCGAATCGCAGTAAGACGCGCGGCACGAAACACGCGACAAACGCGCATATTCGATACGCCTAGGTGTGAACCCAGCCTAAGAGTCCTGCAGGTCTTAGCAAGTGCTCTGCGAGTGTACAGCACTTTTGCAAAGCACGCTGGTCTGGAGACTTGCAATGCAGACCTGCTGTAATTGTGCAACTTTTATCAGATTGCAGCATTGTTTGCAGATCGCACTGGACCAGAACGCAGGCACTAATGTGCCACTCGTTCGGGTGCCGGCGATCGAACTGCAGGCGGGGGGTGTGGCTGCAGTGCCATTGAGTTCAATGCACCACCACGCCCCCTAACAAAGTGAGCCGACCAGGTTGCGTTCCAGATGCCGAACGCACTGGAGCGTACTCTTGATGGTGTGGCTGTGCTCTCTATATTGTGCTGACATTGGTTTTCTCAAAACAGAGATTGAAAACAGGTTGTTTCAATATTTTTCTAACCCAGGGGTGCCCATTAGGTAGATCGTGATCTACCAGTAGCTCTCAAAGCTGATGCTGGTAGATCACGAAGGGTGTGAATGGCGGCCCCCTTATTCCATTTTGGTCTATTTATTTAGCTGTGCACACACATGATTACCTATTAGCCTGAGTATGCTGAACCAAGCTCCCTGACACCTTTATGGTTGATACTGGTGGTTGAAGTGCTATGTATTACATCAAAGAATATTACTTTACACAGCCTGTTGCACTGCACTGTTTGCAAAATACAGCAAGGTGAGCCAGGAGAGAGAGCGTGAGGAGAGACAGCCAGGAGAGCAAAGAGAGACAGCCAGGAGAGAGAGCAAGTAGAGAAAGTCAGGAGAGAGCAAGGAGAGACAGCCAGGAGAGAGCGAGCGAGGGAGGTTTTTTTTTCATTGGTGGATCTCAAGTAGCTCATCATTTGAAAAGTAGATCTTAACACAAAAAATTGTGGGCACCCCTGTTCTAACCATTTAGTTGTCCAATATTGCTCTGTGGCTGCACGCTTTAAATAACAGTATGTTAGATCTATAACGATAAAATTACCCCAGACCTCAGTGTGCTCTGATCACCCCGTACACCCCAACCCTAGTGAGAATTAACAGTCAGTCTGTGTCACTATAGAAAGGTGGGGGGG